GGACAATGTTGTCACAATTGCGCTTTTCAATTGAAAACAGACATCATCTTTAGAGACATTTGCCATCTTCGAAGACTTCTGCACGCCATTTTTCGAGCCGCTCTTTCATTTGAGCCAAAAAAACCATTCATATCTTGTCTGATATCTGTTCTACAAACTCTGGTCATCAACTCTGGTTTTCAGTTGAAATTGGAATTGTTAATTTACACAATAATAGGATTGCATTGACAATTTTTTCTTAACTCGCAAAAACTTCAAACTATTTGCTATCGATTGGTGATAAAATTTTTTGGAAATAATGAAATAGGGGTGATAACGTCTTTTTTTTCCGGGGTGATTTTTCAGAAATTTATTTTTAAAAAAGTACAAACTAGCAAACGTTTTTTATTAGGTCGCAATTTTTTTCAAAACTTCTTTAATGAGAAAAAAAATAAAAATTTGGAATATCTATACATGAGGGGCTAATTGATCGGATCTATCATTTGCGCTATAGTAGGACACATGGCGCCATCTCTAAGTATTATCGATTGCAAATAAAATGAATGCAATTTCTACTCTACCGACACTTTTTGACCGACCGCAAGGACCGTGCACAGATGTGGTTGTGTACAGTTGTTTCCTCACATTTTTCACAAATCTGCGGACAGCCGTAGATGTGTACAGTTGCGGAAGTACGAACGGCCAATTTCTTATGATCGAGAAAAATTCTAGTCGACTTTATCCCTCGTAAAACGAATCCATAAAAGCCATCTCCGTAACATGAGATTTCCCCGGAAATCATTCATGAATAATTTCCTATTAAAATCTCGCGCACAAAGGGTAGATTGCAAATCCCCACTAAAAATTATGTTCAGTAAACTAAAGTTCAAAACTTGGCGTATATGATTTGAATTTCTATCACTCACAAAAAAAAAATTTCGTGCTTTTCTCCAAAAAACCTTTTCATAAAATTGTTCATTTAATGCAGTTCCTAAAAATCTTGACCCCCTACCCATAAAAAAATTCATTCATTATTTATTTGTTTTAAAAAAATGGTAAAATATAAAATATAAAAAAATATATACAAAATATATACAAATATATATAAAACATATATTCCATATATTTTTCTTATATAAATTGAGCCAAGTCAATATATTGTTTTATATATTTTTCAAAATATAAATTTTTCCGTGTGGGCCCTATTTTCACTAATCAGGAAAAGATGAAAAATAATATCGAAGGTCGATACTTCATAGATCATTTGAGGTAAAGGTTTCATTGCCCCCACCTCTCCGCGCTACCATTTCGCTAATGTGTCAGTTGTGTCAGTCGCGCACGTGGTTCGACTCCGACAGGACGTGTCTCTCCTTCCCGCGCACTTTCAACACGAATATACCACCGGTGCGATACCCGTCAAGCAAATGACTTCTAAAAAATCGAAAGGCACTCGAAATAAAATCGTTCACAAGTCGTAAAATCGCGATCACTAAATCAATGAAATTAATAATCGCGATGACGAGAATAAAACCGTGAAATTCGTGAAATTCAGACGGCGATCGAGTGAAATCGCGAGGTAGACTCCATCCCATAATACATTTATTTCTCGTCTCGAGTCCGAACTCTCGCTTTCACTGTTAATCCATCGCCCCGGGGGAACCTCTTCCGTTTGGTTTCCATTCTTTCGAATGTGATGCAACACCACTCGCTGAGTAATACCTCAATTCCCGTGCTCAATTTTATTTCTTATGGGTTTAAAGAGTCAGCGAAATACCGCAGCAAGTGCATTGACTCGAATTCTCCAGTGAACAGGGGAAAATAAAGAGTGAACACTGGAGATCAATAATTCAGGTAATGGTGAGGGTTGAGGTGCACGGGTGGTGGATTTTTTCGTTTCAATGTCAAGGGTGTTCCGAGAGTTTCGTGACTGTGTATTGATTTTCAGTGAGAATTACAGGTGCATATGGGGCTTCTGGGGCTTTGAGGGGGGAAATCAATAGGGAATGACAGGGTCTTGGCGGGTCGTGTTGGGGTGGCTCGGTGTGCTCCCTGGTCAGGGGCGGATTCAAGGGGTGATGCGAGGGGATATGATTAATTGTCCTATTGTGGTTTCATCCAACAATTTTTATGTTCATATATTCATAAAATACATTTATTTTATTATTTATATTTTTTTGGCTTCATGTTCTATATTACGTGTTTTATAAATATATTTATAAAACGGGCTGTTTTGCTTTCCAATGGTTTCTTCAAATGTCATGTTTCAAATTCATTCAAGTATATGCAAATAAAATTTTTCTATTACCATTTTATCGAAGGGCTGAGGGAAGAGATAGAACAGTAAAAAAGAGAATCCGTCGTATAGAAGAAAGGGATAATAAGAATAATGATGATGATAACATTCAACTAATCTTATTCAATTTATTAAAATGAAATGAACAATGAATTATACGTGATGGAACGTATCTCAATATCTCCAGCACATCATATTCTCAATTAATCATTCGAAGATGATGAATACAAACCTCCTGACCCCTCAATTGAGTGAAAGTTGACATCGAATAAAAAACATAACATTGAAATCACATGTTTGCGCATTGCCGTCACGCCTGTGCGTGCCAGACTGTCCGATTATCCTCTATTTTCTCCACACAGAGAATGCTAGCCACGAATTTCAAAAAAACCTGCGAAATACATAATTTCCAATAGCGTCTGCGTCACGCACTCGTTTGCGTACATCTTTTTTCCTCGTGGATGAAAAAAATTAATCACCGGGTTATTGCAATGATACAGGCGCACATTACAAACATCAACGTCAATTCTTCGCGATTGTCGATCTGACGAAAAAGAGGTAAAGAGCATTGTCAGGTACCGAGATTTCACTTGATTGTTAGTGTCAAACAACTGCTTGGGTTCTTCATTACATTTCTCATTTTCCATAAATAGAATGTAATGTTCTGGCTGACGGCCGCTACTATTTTTAACTCGTCACCGCAAATTAGTGGTTTTCGGTGATAATTTTGTTATTCTTACAACGAGAAAAATAAGTCTTTGAAGCAGTAGTTCTTTACTTATATTAAGTCATTGACAGGAAAATATCTCGCGCTTAGAAAAGATACGTTTTGTCAAGCGATTTTGTGTTTGTCGGAAGCGATTCAAGTTGTTTTTGCATTAACATATTTTGGATTTGAGACTTCAAAACTATTCAATAAATTGATTCAACTAGAATTGTTTTGAGAAATCACTTTCTTGTGTAAAAAATTATTCTCGTCTTCGGGACAAGGACAAAATCTCTTGGGGAAAGTTTTTTCTTTCTCTGTGCAAGATATTCTCTTCTTGTCAATTTTCGAGCCATGATTTTCTTGATGCAAGTGAAAACGTTCTTATCGAAGAACTTTTTTTTTCTCTGTATAGACTCATTCGAGATTTTAATGATATGACCCTCGTTCGAGAGGAGATTAATAGAATTATGCAATGGTTATTTGTGAAGAATGAAGTACTTCATTTGAAATTCGCACGGAGTCAATTGAGAGGACAAGTAGACTTCGCTCATTTTGAATACAAAGGAGAATTATTTGTACTGTGCCTCGAGGTATCGAGATGACGTGGGGGTTTTTAATCGTCGTTTTCAATTAAATAGTCGAAGAAAAATGGCGAAAAATGTGAAGTTCCTCTTTCTTATGAATAAATAATGGGAATTGTTTAAACATCTGGAAACAAAAAAGAATTTTGAGGGAACACAAATTATTGCGCTTTAATTATTTATAAACAACGGTTTCAATTTGATAATAATTGCGAAAATTCAATTTTTACTTCAAAAAGTTCAAATAAGAAAATTATTTGAAAATATTTAGTGCTAAATCGAGCTTCAGTGAGTATTTTTTTAATCATCAAACTGCAATGAAATTGAATTGACTGAAAAAATGAATAAATAAATAAATAAATTTAATTTAAAAATATATTTAAAAAATGATATTATTTATAACAATAATAATAATGTTCGTATAATAATATCATTTGTTATTTGTAATCAATAATTTATTTATTATAAACAAATTATTCATAATAAATTTATTTTTTATAAATATTTTTTCCAAAAATTGAAATATTATGCATAAAAATTGAAATTAATCTGAATATAAAAGTGAATATCACTATGACCGCGACTCTTGCAAAAAAATCATACAAAAACCTTCGATTAAGATTGACCTCCCAAGGTAATAGCACAGAGTGTGTTTAATTCACCAGAAAAGAGGACAATTGTGAAAAAATTGAAGGTGTTTCAATAAGTGACTCGTTGATTTTTTGAAAAGGTACTAGAAATGACCGAGCACGTTACCCGATAATTACATAACTATTGGCTGGCTTTCTATTCGCACACACCTTTTGAAATGACGCAAGTTGCGTACATGTGTACCAATGGGGCCCATGCCGAGCCTGAAATACCGGTAATGGATGATATTTGTGTGTGTTCTTTTCACATTGACTCACCGGCTAGCTGGTTCATTCACAACTCGTTGTGTTTTGTAGTTAAGTGGCATTAGGCTCGTACTTGCACTCCCTTGCAAGGAGTTTGATGACATGAGGCGTGAGGCAATCGGACTCAATATGGAGAGGACGATGAACAAATTTCAAACGAGTTGACATTACTGCGACGATTTTTTTAAAATTATTCAGCTTGAAAATCTTGAAATTTAAGATTATATATAGCCCCTCATACAGCCCCTGTGAGGAAATAGTCGAAGATTGCAATTATTCAAGATGATGGCAGTGTCTTCAGGACGATCAAACGATGAACAAACGATTCCTTAAGAGAAGCAAATAAAACAAAGACTTTTCATATGTATGAGGGGCTATATATAGCCCCTCGTGTCTCAATTTCCGACAATTGCGGAGCGATCGGAACTGGTGAAGATTGTAAACCAGGAAAATATGTAAACATACTTTCCTTGTCAACACGTTCCATTATCGGAGCCTGATAACGCCTGAATTTGTCGTAGGTCACAGTTGGCAATCTCAAGGTATTTTGGCCGTTTTTTTGTTGCATTCCTCTTGAACATTTGTGTTTAAACGTCAGAGCTTCAATTTAAGTTTTATTCAAGCCTAGATTACCAGAAATTTTGCAATAGTTGTAGTGCCTAAGCTTTAAATTTTATTTGAAAAAGTTATTTTAATCTACAGAAAAATTTAGGAAAGTTTAGTAGAAAAGTTAGTAATTAAAGCATAATAAGCATAATTATTCTTATTCTTATGATGATAGTTATTATTAGATTATTGTTGGCGTTCCAAATTTTCTGTTTGGAAGGAGATTATCACGATGACAAATAGAATCTATTAAATGACGATAATTTTAAGGTGATGAGCCGGGCCCGGGACTTCGTGTCACTACGATTGTTGATAACAATTGAATGATTGTTGATAACAATCGTAGTGGCACAAAGTCCTGGGCTCTGGTGATGAGAAATGCAAACAGATTATTTTGAAATCTATCTCGCTCAGTAGATCGAGTTTATTTTCATGCGTGACCCGGACAACCTCAGCTATCTGCACTGATACAAAATTAATAAATATTCAGTGACATTTTTTCTTCGCAGATGCACTCGAAGTTTCTTATCAAAGTTTCTTATTGCAGTTTCGTCGTAAAAACCGCAATGTTGTGATCGTGGTATGAAGATTTTTCGACCCTGAGTGTTATCGAATCTTCTAGAAATATTTATTCTATATCTTTTATTTCAGTTGTGGAATAGTATCGGAACGGCCTTTGGAATTAAAAATAGTGGATGTTGTGTCTTCATTTGTTGAAAATATTTTCAGAGACTTTGAAATGAAAAAAAACCCCATTTGACTTCAATAAATTCCATCTTTTAATTTTTTAAGATAATTTTTTTATTTGTATGATTTTTCTCATTGCTAAACAAATCATCTGGACAGACTATTTTTTTAGAGTGATATTTCCATCAGTTTATCATAGAATATCACTCAACACCAACAAGGAAGTTTGAATAAAAACTCAGGAATACATTCATCCTTCAATTTCCCTTCGAAATTGTAAAACTTTGATGTTTACGAATGTTACAGAAATGGAAAAGAATCAATCGACAATGTCAACATCAGAGCCCGCGCCAACGGCACCGCCGCCCTCACCCACAGCACTTCCACCTTCCTACGAGGAAGCCATTGCCCAGTCGATGGGGATGACAAACCCATCGATCAACGGCACACCATATCTGCAAAGTAATTCCACGGTATCCGTGTCCACTCCATGTAAGTGTTTCCTATCAAGTCAATATTTGTGCGCCATAATTCTTTGGGAGATGAGTTTCTATTTTAGTTGTGGAATACTTAAAACGAAAATCATTGACGGAATCTTGTTCATGCGAAAAAAAATTTCTTGGTGGAATGCGGGGAAAACTTTGCATCATGAATTCACAGCCAAAGGAGATGAAAGGAGTTGAAGGTGATTGGCAGGTGTGGGCGCCGCCATCTTGTTTGGATGCCCCCTCCCTCTGCCACAACTGGAGCTGAAGATGGCGACGCTACCACCTCGCATTTTCAAACATTTCTTAAAATTATTTGTCCTCTCAAGATCACTCCAAACTCACTCCATCAGGTTTCTATAAAATGAACAAATTTTTTGAGCGGTCTTCCAGATTTTTCCGTTCCCTTTTGGCTGAGAATTCCCGGCGCCAAGTTTTTTCCGCATTTCAGCAGTTTTTCCTCACTTCCGAGGACTCTTAAAGTCATCAAATGCAACGAATAAAATTGTATTGAACTTATTTTTGTGTTGTTACAATTTAACAGTAATATTATAGTCAAATTCCTCGTCCAAAAATTAACAATTCGTGAATAACGACACCCCCGGTCCTTCCGGCACGCAGCAAATCATCACTTGACGTTCGACGCTCGTAAAGCTTCCTTCATTACCTTCAATTTACGATCTTGCTTTATAATCCCCAGTTCATCGAATTACATTAGCATCGATTCACCTGCCCGAAAACAATTTAATCACGTAATATCGCACGTTTCAAGTGTTAACAATCTCCCAGTCCATGAACAATAGCAGCTCCATCGCCCCCATAAATCCCCATAAAAACAACTTCATTATTTCCCTTCAACGAGATATGATTAAAGCGTAAAAACGGATGGCTGAAAAATCCACGTGACACAAAGGCGCGATCAATCGGTTCTATCGTGCTTAAAAATCTGTGACAGGGTCCTGTCACACTCGAGTCTGTATATCACTGTTTCCGTGTGACGTATCGCACTGGAGATAACACGAGTTATCTTCGTACCACCGATATTGAACTTTTCGCCTTCGTCAGCGATAGCCGACAGCTCTCGTGAATTTTTTTTTTGTGAATTATCTCGCGATGTGGGTAATCGGTCACTCATGTTTATTGAATATGTTTATTATACTGGGAGAATATTTTTTTTCGTAACTTGATTTTGTGATTTTACTGTGAAAAAAAATACTTTTTTAATTGCACCTGTTTTTTTATGCCCTACAATCATATCAATTAATCAAGCGACAAATTTTCCGAGAAAACAAACCAATCAAAAACCATTCAACCTAAATCCAACCGTCACTTCCGAATATCCCCAGAACAAAAGAATTGTTGCATCACAGTTTACGACTTCCATCCCTGGGTTACTGTCCCTGCATGCGCTTCCTCCACCACTACCGGTGATCAAATCGACTTCCTCAGGCACTTGAATTTTTTTACAACCCCCAGTGCCCCATAAAAAACATAAAAAAGTGTAGAATGAGGGTGACAAGAATGGAGATCGTTGGATATTTTTTTGCGTGGCCCATTGTTGTCCTCGAATGAGTGTCGTAAAGTTAAATGACAGCTCGTTGGCAGTGTCAAGTCGAATTGGTATTCACGTCGTTAACAATGCCAGCCAGTGGCATTGGTACCACTAATGTGTGGAATAAGAAATTTGCAAGGAGCTCAGTCCTCCCTAATTTCCCGATTCCCCCATTCTATTCGTAGCCCATAGACAGCTGAACGAAAAGAATCCGCTCGTCAACCCCCATATAACCCACATAGAATCTTTAATGTGACCCTCATGGCCCTCATTATAACCCTCGTGGCCCTTATTTTCATCCTCGTGACCCTTATTCTGACCCTTAGTTTCTGACCCTTAATTTTAGATCTCCACGACCCTTATTTGAACCCTTACTCTGACCCTTGCGACTCTTGATTGAATCCTTGTGGCCCTTATTTAGATCCTTGCATAAGGGTCACCCTAGGTCACCCTTATTTAGACCCTTAATCTGACCTTGTGACCCTTATGCTGACCCTCACGAGCCTTACTTTAACCCTCGTGACCCTTGTTTTGACCCTCACCACTCTTTCTTCAACCCTTCTGACCCTTAATTTTCAAGTACCGAATTTTTATCACCAAAAATCGATTTGGATTTTTATAATATAGAGATATTTTCTAACAATTGATCCAAAATCAGATGTTTTTGAAACCTATTATTTCGGTTATGACGTCAGAAAGTGGCACAAGTAATGCTGCACTGAAAATATTAATGAATTATTTTAATAAACTCGATAAAAATTAATTAAAAAATCATGCAAATTCCCTATTGCTTTCATTTCCAGCTGTCCAACCCACGGTGCACATGCCCAGGCCACATCAACCCGATGTTACTGATGGGTGTGATACACAGTTTGCACCTCCGTCGTATGCAATTACCTCGGAGTTGAGGGTCATCAGGGGTCGGGCCGCGTATGTGTTGGCTCCAGGACCTTTGAAGATGCAGTGCCCCTCGTGTATGGCGGACATCAAGACATCTACCGTTTCGGATCATCAGCCTATGGCGCATGTCTGCTGTCTCATTCTCTGTGTTATCGGGTAATATTTCAATTTTTATTTTTCAAGGACATTATTTCACCGGACAATAAAATTTGATAGGAAATTAGAATGGGCGAAAAAATAGGGCACAAAAAAAACTCATTCATTATTTCATTCTATCTAAACAAAAATTAAAATGTTTATGTCACTTTTTCACTGAAGTTTCGTTACATGCGACCATTATTTTTTTTCTTGTCATATATACCCTATTCTAGTTTTTACATATTTGCGGTTTCATGGGTCGATTTCTTCTTCATGTCGCATTGTACCCCAGAAGCTGTACCCCACGTACCGCGTCCATCGACCGAACTTCATCGCAGAATGTTTTCCTAACACTTTTCCAATGATTCTCGTTGTCTAGACGTCCGCTCGACGGTTTCCGAAAGATTAAAAAAATCCAATTGCCCCACCGGACTCGAACCCGCGCCGCACGGGCCCCGCCGTCCGGCCGAGCGATTTAACCACTTCGGCCACCGTCGCCAAGAACACGCTACCGATAAAAAAACCCTGTTAAATTTTTGTTTCAATCTCAATTTCAACATTTTACGATTCTGGGGCGAATTTTCGATTGAGCAATGAAGCCTAATTTTTCCTTAATTATTTCAGATGTTGTCTGTGTTCGTGTCTACCCTACTGTATGACTTTCTTCATGAAAGTTCACCATTTTTGCCCCCGATGTAGAATATACATCGGCACATGGAAAGGCTTCGAGCCCTCACAAAGACTCATTGCGCTAAGAGTTTGAAATTCCCAGGCTCTGGGAATGAATTCAACAATAACGAGCGACAAGTCGCGACGATTCTCACGCAGATTATTATATCAGTGAGATGCGATTTTTCTCAAATAAAAACATTAAGTGGTATTCGTGTCAGGATACACCTCGAGGACGATCATTTGTCGCATCTAAGTCGCTGTTGTTGACAGACGACGGGAGGAAACAAACTTTTCTAATTTCGAATAATTTCTATTGTTTTTTAAAAGGACTTTTTACTGTTGTTAGTGTTTTTTTTATGTTTGTTGGTAAGTTATTCTATCAAAAAGAGCCAAGTCTTCCCAAATATTGTCGAAGGGAGTTATTTTCTTCGGATAAAAATGAAGATTATGATTTGTATCGTAAAACATCGAGGGATGTTGAAAAATGTTGTTATAAGAGATTATCCAATGATATTCAATCCTCGCCTTTCAAATCTATTCCTAAATATTGAACCATCAATGTTAAATGTGTGAAGAGTAATATCTGTTCTACAGATATTTTATGTCACCGTAAAAATATATGAATAAAAAATATTTTATGTCACTGTAAAAATATATGACTGTATGTAAGGTGTAATAAATACACATTAGTTATATATGGTCGATGAAAAAATTTGACGTCATTTTATTTCTTCCTTACAAGATAAAATTGAAATAGTGACCTAATATCAATAATCGACTCCATCATCCCCAATTAATCCCCGAATGCCAATCGAATCGATTGCATCACTTCTTAAGACTTAAGTAACGACTCTCGATTTATATAAAGTCAAAAAATTCCTTAGATAGAGTTCAACGAGTAATACTGCAGAGATTACGCTATTATTCAGTTTTATCGTGAAATTTTGGCACTAGACTACGGCGTCGGGCACTAAATTCTAAAATAAGTTTGGGTTATGGGGGAGAAATTGCTGCTGCAACACCGACGAGAATTTTGTGTCGATGGGTTTCGTTGTGTCGTAGAGAGCTGGGGCATCACAAAGAATGGCAAATGTACCGGCTATTGATGCTATCGCGAAAATCCAGAGAAATAGACGATCCAAAACCATTGCAACGAATCCCCAATCTTGATCTTCCTGGAATAGAGAATTGACAATTTAGGTTTGAATTTAGAGATATTGCATGCAGGAAAATAATTTTTTTCTATGAAAAATGAGAAATATGAATAAGAACTCATCCCAAAGCAAATTCAAGAATTTTCAAATTTTTTTTTCTAGGATTTCATGAGAAACCAACGAAAATACAGCAGAAAACCTTCAAAATTTATGTCCCGGAGTTTCTGTAAAAAAATCAAGATCGATTGAATTTTACTGAACAAAATTATGGGATTGAATTGACTATGTGATCCTGCAACACCGCGAAAGAAAATGTGACGAAGCTGTCACGAGATGAATTTGTTTCGGGATGAGTTGTCATGACATGAACTTGTGAGATACAACTCGAAATGAATTAATCGGATGCCCACCGCATTGAATTCATCCTGCCGTTGAATGTGATGCTGTATAAACATGACATTGTGCAGTGCCTTCTCCAACTCAAAAGGATACTTCTTCTTCGGAGCAACGTCGCTCATAGATTCATCGAGCCCCGACATGACCGTGGGAAGCCCATTGTACGCGCCCATTCCCTGCTCAAGACTCCCAAGAAATCGGTTAGTCGCTGACGTCTGATGAAGTCCGTTGCATCCTGCCAACAAAAATTGACATTGATGATTTCTCAAGAATTTATAAAAAATTCTGGTGGTTGAACGATGATGACAAACATATGAGAGAACTGATAATTCATGAGGAATTATTTAAACGATTGTCATGACTGGTTTTTAAAATAAAAACCTGGTTTAAAAATCCCTAAAATGATGAACGATCTCACCTGGTCGATGCCTGACAGACTCCGGCGAGCTCATGACCGAGGGTGATCTCATAGCCGCCGATATAGCGTCCTCAAATTTCGTTTTCTTCCCCGGTTTACCCCTTCCATATATTTTATGGGCCGCAAGATCATTGAGCAAATCATCAGGCACCCGCATCAGCAACAGTTTTGGTAATCTTCGTATGAATATCTTCCTGATCCACGGCGCCATTTTGTGAGTACTTGGCTTGCGATAATGAACGTTCAATATTATAATAGTAACGACAACTGATAGCCCCACCAACACCATCGTAAAGAGAAGATATTTGCCGAGAAGAGGTAATGCCAATGAGGTTGAGGGTATAATCTCGGAAATGAGAAGGAAGAACATTGTTTGGGACAGGAGAATGTTGATGCAGAGGGCGATTTTCTCGCCGGAATCGGCTGGCAGGTAGAAAGCCAAGATCGACAGCCATGAGATGCTGACGCAGGGGATTATGAGATTGACTGTGTAGAAGAGAGTCTTTCGGCGGAGGGAGATGTTGAAGAAGATGTCGGGATAGGGTTGCAAGCAGCAGGGGTAGAACTTCTCGTGTCGTTCGGCTGGGACTCCTAGGATGTCCCACTCGACGCTCGGGTAGTATTCACGGAGGTCTATTCCGACGTCTACTTTGTTGCCCCCTTTCTGATTGATGTGCTTCAAGTCGATCTGAAAAGCGAGTGGACAGCATCATTTCATCAGATTCGAAGGTCGCTGTCAGGTAGGAGGTGAAGGAGACTACCTGGAAGCCGTCGTAGGTCCACGAGCCGAACTTCATGAAGCAAGTCTGCTGGTCAAACGGAAAGTAACGCACATCAATCTCGCATGAAGACTTGAAGATTGCTGGAGGGGTCCACACCACTCGTCCAGTGTGATGCAGAACAGCTTTTGTCATCGTTGTTATTCCGTATTCACCGTCCGCACTTGGTGAGTCATGGTATAATTAAAGTAATCTAGTTACAAATCAGTGCTTCAGAACTTTATGGATTTTCATTTGTAATTGAGATTTAGCTCACTTGTTGTAGAGGACAATGTCGGGGAGCCATATGTGTTCACTGGGGACGTAGAGTTCGGTAACTCCGCCGTATTCTGAGGGATCCCAGCGGAACTTGTGGTCCTCCCATTCCTGGAATCATCAAGGTGAAATGGGCGAGAGGTTGTTGGGGGGGTAAGTGATACGATTGTCATTAGATGTTTTGTGACATCCTAGATTTCAAAAGATTACATGATAACTGAACCAGAAGCTAAGTCCACTTGGATTGTTTGATCATTTAGTGGCCGAGTGGTCAAACTTTCAAAGGACATAGTTCTGCAGAGAGATCACAGCTGAAGAAGGTCTTTACAAAATTTCTGCTATCTCTCTTAAATTGCGAGGTTTCAGAAGAAATCCCTGCAACAAGCTAAGTCGGCTTAGACTTTTTCTCCTTCAAGTAGGGAAGTGATCAAACTTGACTTCAGGCAATAGAAAAATAGCAAATTTTTCTGGAGGGTATGTTGTTTAAAGACAGATTAAAGCTACAATGAAAGTCTCCATGAAAATTTGGCCATGAAACTTTTCGGTTTAAAGATAACAATATCTTCCTGAAGACTTGGTTTTGTCGTCCTAGATTCCAAAAGATTACTTGATAACTGAACCGGAAGCTAAGTCGACTTAGATTGTTTGATCATTTAGTGGTCGAGTAGTCAAACTTTCAAAGGAAATAGTTCTGCAGAGAGATCACAGCTGAAGGAGGTCTTTACAAAAATTCTGCTATCTCTCTTAAATTTCGAGGCTTCAGAAGAAATCCTTGCAACAAGCTAAGTCGGCTTAGACTGTTTCTCCTTTAAGTAGTGAAGTGATCAAACTGTCGTTCTTGCGATAGGAAAAGAGCAAAATTTTCTTGAGGATATCTTCCATAGAGACAGATTAAATCTACAGCGAACATCTGCATACAAATTCGATCATTTCTGTCGCACTCCCAGACATTCAAGGAAACCTCAACAAGCTAAATCGACTCAGATCGCTTGACCCTTTCTCTGCTGCTCGAATTGGTGTCTTAAACATTCTCCTAAATGACAGCATCAACATAAAACATCCCATGACAATCAATTCGTAATTGTAAGATGTCAGCAACAGCCTTACGTGATCCAGCCAGACGTTGGTCGTAAGAATTTGATCCTTCAGGTTCTGAAAGCAAGAAAACCATTTAAGTCGATGATTGAATGATAATTAAAATAAGACCAACACAAGCATACCAGATCAATGAGCTGCGACAGCCTCAACCCCAGCTTAACAACAACAATATCCGTATTATTGGATACAGGTCTAATGAGCCTATTATAATTCGACAAAAGATCATCGTAAAGTCTCTTGGCATCGGGATTCCCCCAGCAAATGCCAACAATTCCCATCAGAATGAATACTTCCATTTTCATCATCGCACGTACTTCACTCGGCGGTTATTTTCCCAATCAACAAGCCAGACAATACTCCCCCGATTGAACGAGATGCGCACAACTTCCACTATTTATAGTTCAAGTGGCGTGCCCTCAGCATAAAATTATGAACCGCTTGATTCTGTCCACTCATCAAAATTCCATCTCTGTTATACAAATCAGATTGCATTCAAAGTGCTGTCTGCATGATCGGTTGGTCCTATTGATGGAATCTTCACCCGTCGGCACTCGGTGAGTCGTCTCTTCCCAGACCTGTTGCTCGATCACGATTTGGCAATTATTTCCTGACTTGTTGCGATAAAAATAACATTGATTTCACTTATCGCGGAGATCATTAGCACTCAGTGACTATTCTCTTTTCCGATAGCTGTTGTTTCACACTTGCACGCAACTCTCATCACAACAGCTTCTCTCTCTCCTATCGTAAACGGTCTCGACAATCGTCGGCAATTTTTAACTCTGGATTTCTGATGATTCCAGTAAAATTGGGTTGATGTTCTAACGCATTGGGGATAAAGCGTAGATAAACACAAACGGAAATGACATTCGCTGGCTGCGCGGCCGGTGGACCACTGCTGAGGGTGGGTGAGGGTAACGCGCCAGCCCTCTAGACACTCACCCCCTTCGCTCGGGTGGGGGAATGATCGATACACGCCTGCGTATTTTCTATATTTCTGTTTTGCGTGCACGCGCAGACTCCGATCGTTGGTCCAGGGGCTACATCTTGGGTTACGTGTATGATATTTTCAATGTTTTATACATTCTTCACCTTTCTGCTGAAGCCATTGCCCTATTTACTGTTGACCTACGTGAAGGTTTGTTTGGAAATACAAAAA